GGCATCTTACTTGGGTATGACCCAACGACTCAAGACGGCTATCTGGTGTACCTGCCGCACACACGGCAATTGGTTTTGTCACGTGATGTGGTGTTTGACGAGGCGATACTGCCTGGACAAGAGAAGAAGCCACGAGCACCACCAGCAATCGATCTCATCTACCCACAACGACCCGAGACATCTCAGAGTGAGCCCTTACCAAAAATCGAGGACATACACGACGAGAGCAACGAACCACACCAGCATCAGGAGACAAATGATGCGCAAGATGACATGACGATCATTAAAGAAGACGGCAATGGTCAAGAGGGGGAGGAAGACACTGATGAGCAACAGACAAAAACGACAAGAACAACGCGTGAGCGATGCATCCCTGGACGCGTCTATAAAGACCACTTCTTCGATCATCCTGACCTGCTCTTTGTGAATGAAGATGGCGAGATGACAAAAGACCCATCGGAAGATGACAAGACCGCAGATGACCCATCACTTTCACAGCTATTTCAGCCAACCATACTGAAGATGTATAACCAAGCCATCAAATCAGCAGCAGCAGACCAATGGAAAGAAGCCATGGATCGTGAGATGAAGTCGATTGAAGACCTGGGAGTGTTTGAGTACGTGCCGGTGAACGCCGCAACGACCAAGATCATCTCATGCAGATGAGTATTTGCCCTCAAGCCTGACAAGTACAAGGCTCGCATCGTCGCAAAAGGATTCGAACAAGACGGCAACCAAGTGGATGACGTGTTTTCTGCTACGCCCTCCTACACATTGTTCGATCAGCGTTTGCCCTGGCGAATCAACTTAACCTGGAGATACATCAAATGGACATCAACACAGCATTTCTCAACGCCCCGCTGGACAAGCCTGTCTTTATGCGGTGCCCACCTGGATATGAGAAGCCCGGTCATGTTGTTCGTCTACGGAAGGCATTGTATGGCCTCAACGAAGCCCCGCGCGCATAGAACATCACCCATCACAACCAACTATACGACAGAGGGTTCGTTTGCCACCCTCAGGAGCCCTGTGTCTACCTGCATAAGGACAACAACATCCTTCTTGTGGTGTTCGTCGACGACATTCTCATCGTCAGCGACCAAGAGGGGGTCACCTGGTTCAAGCAGCAGCTGTCGAGCGTGTTTGCGACGAAGGACCTGGGCGAGGTTGACATCTTTCTCGGCCTCAAGATCATCTGCGATCGTCAAGAAAGGACCCTGCGGATCACACAGCCACAGTACGTCGACAAGATGCTCAAGAGATTCAGCATGGAGAATGCGAACTCAGTGGATTTCCTTTCTGCGTCCGGTATCCAACTGACCTCTGAGATGTCACCGAAGACGAACGAAGAGAAGACGAAGATGAAGAAGGTTCCCTATCGGCAACTCGTTGGCGCATTGATGTTCTGCTCGGTCACGTGCCGCCCGGATATCGCCTATGTGGTCAAGGAGCTTGCACGATATGCTCATGAGCCCGGTTTTGGGCATTGGCAGGCAACAAAGAGGGTTCTTCGCTATCTGAGTGGGACAAAAGACAAAGGGATCGAGTTCAAGGCTGAGCCAGGCAAGGAAGGTCGGATTGATCTGACTGCCTTCTCTGACTCGTCTTGGGCTGATTGTGTGGGTCGCAAGTCTAGTGGTGGTCATGTGGTGTTTGTGTGTGGTGGACCTGTGTATTGGAGTGCGAAGACTCAGCCACTGGTGACGCTTTCGTCAACGGAGGCTGAATACGTACAGATGAGTGAATGTGCCACTGCCCTCGTATATCTGGCATCATTTTTGCGTGGCATACCTCTTTTTGGTGTTCGGTTTGGGAGTGCATATCTTATGGCTGATAATAGGGGAGCTATCCTGAGCGCACAGAATCCGATAGTCAGTCACAGAACGAAACACATTGACGTGCGTTATCACTACATACGTCAGCTAG